AGCGCTCGAGTAGCGCGCGCTCAGCCGCGAGGACATAGGCTCGTGCCGGGATTGGCTGGCGACGCCAATATGGCGTCGATAGGTCGCGGCGGGGGTAGCCAGCCGAGCGTACGCTACTCGGGCGCTGTGATTGGTCCGTGGTTTTTTCGTTAATAATTCGAAAACGAAGCGAAACTATTATTTAATTTAATTTTCTTCGATAGACATAGAGGGTAAGGAATATTTATGGGATTGACTGTAGATGCGCGAACCATTTTACCAAGTTTCTCAATATCGCTCGCCGTTACGATGTTACGATCTTCTATAAATAAAAGACCATGAAAGAATCGACCCCAAAAAACTTTCCACGGATTCGATGAACTCTGAACTATACACGAGTCCTACAAACTGCTACTCAAAGGGTCACGTGGTTTCCGAAGACCAAAGAAAGCCTATTTATTTATTAATTTCCTATATATTTTCTATAAATCTTCTCGAGTAACCTAACGAATTGTATTATTTTAACCGATGTTGTTCGAAAGAGTAACATTTAAATATTAGATGGACTGGAAAGGAATGTTGTTTTTGCAATTGTAAATACTTGTTCATCACTCATCAGCTCGTTGATTTTTATCTATCTGGCATTAAAAAATTTCCATACTAAATGGCAAAAGGCTGGTGATAACGAGGTTGATTAAATAATTGATAAAGAATAGAAATTAATTAAAAATTCGTTTAAATTTAATGTGAACGACATTACTTTTCAGTCTACCTAATATTTCACAAATTCGTCACAAAAAGAAAAAAAAATATTAAAAAAGTAATTCGCGATAGCTTTACCTGAAATCAAATATTTGCTATCAGTATGTAAATATAACTCGTAATTTTCTGTGATCGTAATGGTGATCATCACATGGTCTAGATTTGTCATTTTTCTACAAAACTCTAAAAATTCAAGCTTCGATTTTTCTTTCTTAACACCGAGTTCCATAAAGAAATAGTTTCGTCAGAGGTGATCCTACAGGATTAAGGACCGAGAGGCTGGTGAGTCCGCGTCGCGTGTATCGGAAACGTAAGGTCGGTCGGGGCATATATTGTTTATTTTCGTCGGAGCAGGATGCTCGAACGTGTATTTACCGCGTGGATAACGGAACCGCCGCCGATGCTCGACAAGTCTTCCTCGAGCCAAGGTGAAAAGAGGACGCATTGTACGTGATAGCGTGGTACGTGTACGCGTACGAGGAGGACAGGACGAACAACGGAAAGAAACGAGGAAGAGAAACCCGAGGAGTACGGTATCGTCATCCAGGAGAATTTCTTCGATCGGAGATTATGGCGATCCCCCGTTGGGCCCCCGTCGAGTCGGCACGGTAAAAGTAAAACCGCGTTCCCTCGGAGTACAATGAATTTCGCTGTGCCGTATTCGACGGTTGTCTTCGACGAGTAACGGTAGTCGATAACAGAACGATCTATCCGGGAAATTGCATCTACGCGCGAGACGCCGCTCGGATTCGATATCTCGAAGGGTCCGGGAGGAAATCCGATCCGGGATACAGGAATTACAAGAAACGATTAATCCTGACGCCAGCGACTCCTGCGTGCCTTAACCATGGTGGAAAATATAGAAATAAAGGTTAATCGCGTTTAATCATGAAGACTGTACAAGGAGTCCTAACTGTATAGTGTAGAAGTGTTATCGAAATCCTGAGCTTTAAGTTATGAATATTTCTACCACTCGCGGCGCTAGTGAGCACAGACTACGATATACATGTCATATGTGTATGTATTATCATATATATATATATATATGATAATACGTAGAAATATACAGGGTGTCCCAAAAATGTTGGAGGTCCTTGAAAGGGGTGGTTCGGGAGGTGATTTGAAACAACCTTTTCCTTTGGAAAAATGTCGGATGGTGCTTCGTTAAGTAGACATTAATAAAAAAACCCGACCAATCAGAGCGCACGGATACCGTTTGAGCGGCCGCGGTAGCGAAGGCTACGCGCTGAGCGGCCGCGTCAATATCCTTCGATGCACGTCGACTCACTTGTTCGCGTACGAGAGCGGCTACCTAGCGCGTAGCCATCGCTATCGCGGCCGCTCCAACAGTATACGCGCGCTCTGATTGGTCAGTGTTTTCCGTTAATATCTCCTCAACGAAGTCTCGGACAACATTTTCGCTAAGGAAAAAGTTGTTTCAAATCACCCCCTGAACCACCCTTTTCAAGGACCTCCAACATTTTTGGGACACCCTGTATATGTCATATATGCATATATCTCAGCAGTATGACATTGCTGTACGAATACTTTTTACACCAACTGTATATATATAGGGAATTTAGACATACTAACAAATATCGCAGTAGTAAAGGATATAATTTATAAGCTGAACGCGATAGAGAATCACAGTTCGTGGTGTTCATTTTCCCCGCGAATCGTATTAAATAAAAACACAGACGCCATGAAAATCGTGATCTCCCCTGAAACTTCGATGTTTGCCGAAACTTACGTCGCCCGGAAACTCGACGATTCCTCGGAACGAACGTTAAGAATAGCGTCGTCTAGAGGCCCGTAATTAACGGCGAAAAGTATCGACAAAAAGTTCAACGGCGTGAGCAGATTTAATTAATAACCGTCGAAGCCGCGGCAAAGTCTACAAGAAGAGGAGAAATAATTTCGTTTGGTAACCGCATTTTCTAAATTAATTTCCGTCCGACGCGACGAGGAACTCGATGGTCCTTCACGTGTCCCTAAAGCGCCTTTTATAGTCGGAACCGAATGGTACGTGGTTCTCGGTCGATATGAAATCACAAAGGTCAAAGAGTTCCGCCATTGTCACTAGTGTTTCTTTTTTTAACTAGCCGGTTCGGGATCTCGGAAACGAAGCATATCGTTACGAATCTTTTACAAACAATTCATTGGTTATTCGGGGATAACAAATAATTTTGTTTCAACGGTGTATATTTCTGTTTCGATTCGGTAAAATTTCATCGCGATTTGGCTGGCGCGAGTAGTTCATCGATTCGAAATAACGAGAAAACTTTAATAAGTTTGCCCAGACGTTCGCGCGGCGACTTATTAAAGTCTTTCGAAGCTCGCGGAGCCCTGAACACTGGAGACTTGTTTATACAAGTCCGTTCCAAGTTCCAGGGAATTCTTAATGCGGTCTTTCATGTAGACGGACATTGTGTGCGGATCCGTGCATTTTAAACGTTTCTTTGAATCGCCCGAGTTTACGGAACAATTCCAGTTAGCGAATGCAGTTCGACAAACTCGTGAATTAATAATATCTTGAGCCTGTGATCGACTCTCGTTCCATTAAATATGTGAAGACTGTATAAGAAGATCCAACTCCCTAAGAAAGTTACTAGAAAACTGTTATCAAAATCCCGAACTTTAAGTTATGAATATTTCGTCCACTCACGGCGCTAGTGCGCACATATATATGATAATACATACACATATGACATATACAGGGTGTCTGAAAAAATATTGTAACACCTTGAAAGAGGTGGTTCGGAGGGTGATTTAAGGTGATATTAACGGAAAACACTGACCAATCATAGCGCGAGTATGCCGGTGGAGCGCTCGCGGTAGCGTATGAGCGTGGTCGCCTAGCGCGTAACCACGCTTACTACGGCCGCTCCAACGGTATACGCGCGCTCTGATTGGTCGGGGCTTTTCGGTTAATATCTTCTTAACGAAGTCTCGTACAACATTTTCGCTACGGAAAAAATAGTTTCAAATCACCTCCACCATGTATATACAGGGTGTCCCAAAAATGTTGTAACACCTTAAAGAGGTGATTCGGGAGGTGATTTCAAACAACTTTTTCCTTAGCGTAAATGTTGTCCGAGGCTTCGTTAAGGAGATATTAACGGAAAACACTGACCAATCAGAGCGCGAGTATGCCGGTGGAGCGCTCGCGGTAGCGTATGAGCGCGGTCGCCTACCGGGTAGCCACGCCTACTACGGCCGCTCCAACGGTATACGCGCGGTCTGATTTGTCGGGGTTTTCTGTTAATATCTCCTTAATAAAGCTTCGGACAACATTTTCGTTAAAGAAAAAGTTGTTTCAAATCACCCCCCGAATCACCCATTTCAAGGAGTTCCAACATTTTTGGGACACCCTGTATATTATTGTACCGTCATGAATGCATAAAATGAGCCTTGTTACAATTTCGTAAACAAGCCTCGAAACCAAAGTCCCAGAAGAAAGGTCATCTCTCTCTCAAACAAACATGATGTCATCAAACTTTAAATAAGTTTATGTAGAATAGAACAATATTATTATATCATTTGTAGAATATATTCGATATTATATATACTTTATGTATGTTTTTTATACATTTGTGTACCGTCATGAATGCATAAAATGAGGCTAGTTACAATTTCGTAAACAAGCCTCGAAAGAAAGGGGTCATCTCTCTCTAAAACGAATACGACATTACCAAACTTTAAATAAACATAACTTCTATACTAAACACGATAGAGAATCGTGATTTGCGACACACTGTCTTTCTAATAAATTCTAATAATTTATATCATCTATTCGACAAAAATTTTGCCCTCAATTACATGTTGGCTGTCAGACTAATACTTCCGAAAAATACGAGCCTAACACTTCCCCTTTATACAATCGAACCTTACATTTATGGAAATTAAACATGTACGCAGATTTATTTTCTCCAGAATTAATTCATTCACCCCCTGTCGCCCGTACATGGTTGACACGGCAATCAACATGTCAATCGAGCTGAAAGCAAGAACCACCGAATGCGTTCACCGTGGGCCAGCGGTAGCGCGAAAATGTTCGAACGGAGGATGTCGTCCGTTAAAAACAATTGACTACGATTTAAAAGCAAAACGGGGTCACGTAGATCCCGAGCGGAATGAGAGAATCGACTGCGCTCGCGGGTACGCGTGTACCGAGATACTTCGATCCGCGTATCGAAGGGGTTGCTGCCCGGACCCGCGATACGTTCGCCATGAAAGAAAACAAGAGCGGAATCACTCACCCCCGAGCACCGTGGTCTGCTGCACCGTTCCCTCGGCCGGCGTTCCGTAACAGGTCGCCTTAGGGGATAGGAATCACACAGTGTCACAAGACGCGCGGGACGTTCTTCGGTCGACACATCGAACCGTCCAGCACGAAGTCTGGCGAGCGACTGTTGCGTCCCGGTTTGTTACCGACTCTCGCGAGTCTCGCGACGCTTCCCCTCTCTCGGCTCCCCACTCTCGCGGTTCTCCGCGCGTAAAAGTCAATGCTCGCGCTCTCTCGCGTTTCCCCTCCTTCGCACCTTCCGTGCACCTTTGGCACACCTGACCGCGCGAATCTCGGGTCGGTATCATTGGGAAACGATAATTTTACGATTTTGAATTGATATTTAATTATTTGGGATCGATGAGTTGATCCCCGCGCCATCCTTGTTTTCGGTGACGAGGATTTTCACCGAGGTAATAGAAGAGCCGATTCGGTCGGTAAGGTGACACGGAAACTCTGTGGGTAACTCTGTGGAGGATTTATAAACGAGGACATTTATTTAGATTTTTATGAAGATTTATTAGATTTAGATTTATTAAATTTATTAGATTTCGTATGTTAGATTAGATTTATTAGATTTAGTAGATTTATTTGATTTCGTATGAAGTTGAGTGATCTACGAACTATTAGTTCGTTGGATTAGTCGATAGCTTTTTTGACTAAATGCGATAGACTAGTAATGCTCTGTTAGAAACTTAAAAATAGTTTAGTTTACTTACTATTTTACTGATGGACCGTTACGATTAAGTGGGTACTGAACTCTCGTGAGCATCTCAGTTAAGATTTTGAACGAACGAACATTAAAGAATCCCGTCGAATAAGTATAATTTACTACACATTATGCGTCTACTTTTTAAACTTTAAGTTAATAATTTCCAATGATTGTCCCTATCCAAGTTCCGAAAGCGGAGGGTCGGTAAGTTTCTATTACAAATGTTGCCATCTGTGATAGAAAATATAAATCAATAAAAACCAATGGTCTATTGCCATCTATGATTGAAAATATGAGTTTTTGGTAATGTACGAGGGCGTTCATTGGAATTTGTCGTTAACCTAACATTAATCACGAAAAGTGAATCGATACAGAAGAAGAAGCGAAATAAAACCCATATTCCATGCAAAACTGTCTTTCAAAGACAACAACGATATCCGATTTATTATTATAGTGCGTTATCTTAGAATTACTCGTTGAATAAAATAGTCGAATAAAAATATTTCGAATATGAGATACTCGTAAATTAGAAAAACGTGTCTGAGAATGATTTGTCGAGTAAAGTTATTTGAAAAGTGCACGAGTCTGCCTCTGGCTATGCCGCGACGAGATCCATTTGCAAATAAAGACGATTCGCGAGCTGGCCTTTTGTTGCTGCTTGTGACTGCGAAAGAGTTCCTTTATCACGGGGTATATTCGAAAAGATAGAGAACTTTATTCGACAAAGGAGACTTTTATTCGTGATTTAATTGAAACTTCGATGTCTAGACGCTTCGTAGACAATACAAGTAGAAGAAAAGTTTATTGCAAAATTTATTATTGAACTTACGGTTGAACTTACGAAAAATACAATTTTAATTATACATATATTAATATTATATTAATATTAATATATATATAATTAAAATTATACATATATTTTAGAGCTTCCAGAGGAAGCTGGAAGAAGGTAAAGCAGCAATTACTATTTCCTCATTCCTTCAATATGAGAATATATATGTTTATATTTAGGCAGGAACTTTGGTTGAACTTACGAAAAATACAATTTTCCATTTTAAATTAAAAATATATTAATATATGAAAGGATATTATTAAATATTTTATAATATACATATATACATATATTAAAATATATACAGTGGGTCCCAAAAATGTTGTAACATCTTGAAAGGGGTGGTTCAGGAAGTGATTTGAAACAACTTTTTCCTTAGCGAAAATGTTGTCCGAGGCTTTATTAAGAAGATATTAACGGAAAACACTGACCAATCAGAGCGCGAGTATGCCGGTTGAGCGTAGCCTACGCGCTAGGCGCCTGCGCTCATTAGCTACCGCGAGTGCTCCATCGGCATACTCGCGCTCTCATTGGTCAGTATTTTCCGTTAATATCTTTTCAACGAAACCTCTGACAACATTTTCGCTAAGGAAAAAGTTGTTTCAAATCACCTTCCGAACAACCCCTTTCAAGGTGTTACAACATTTTTGGGACACCCTGTATAAATATATGAGAAATATATTTTTTCCTTTTAAGAATATTTTTCGTTAACTATAAAATTTGTTAAAAAAAGATGAAGTAGAGCCCAAAATTATGTACCAAAAAGCATGGCGAGTCAAGTTTGTATCTCCGGATACTTCTCCAATTATATAACTTTATACAAAATTTTTAATCGAAGTACGTGTAAAATCGTATAGAGGAACAATTTTATGGAAATAACTGGTTACATATCGGTTTTTCAAAAATTCTGCAAGGAAGCTTTTTTCTAGAAAATACAATTATCTACAAAACACGTTATATACAAATATTTCGTAAAATCGATCTTTCTGCAGATATTCGACAACTTGGATTTTTCTAACCTATGCGAAATTAAAAAAAATTATTTCTTCTCAGATAATTTGTAAAAATCAATTTTTCTTCCTATTCTCTGTCGAAATGCTTTCGAAAGAACGTACATCTCGAAATGTTATCGCTCCTACTATTTAATTAAAATTAATTTTCCGAGAATTAATGTTCCAAGTCCCGACTGCAACTATTTTTATATTCTATATAAAGAGTGTACCGCATTTCCCTACAATATTTATAGCAGACGTTACTGGAACTACGTTATTGTTACTACGTGGTTGTTAAATCGATACAGATTATCGTACGAAGACACTACGTCGTAACGAGATCGGAAAAAGAGAAAAATTCTGTCGTTGGTCCGTCATTGGCGAACGAAATCGCGGGAAAATTCGGACTCGCGCCCAATTTTCCCGCTCGACCTGCATTTCCTGTATCTAGCCTTCCCTTTTCACTTCCGCTTCGCTAACCTCATTCGATGGAAGCGCTGTAATGAAAGTACGCAATCATGCTGGCCAAACATTCCCGACCAATGTTTCTGCGCAAGGCAACCTAGGATCGACGCGCTTAGACAGTCGTAACAATTTCAGACAGTTCGTGGCCCGTTTTCACACCATTATGGATTCGTTAGCGAATTACGCTAGCGACGGGGACAACAGTAACAATTCCGAAGATTCGAAGGTGAGTATACGCTCGTTAATCCCTTCGAAGATGGTCAACTAGCTTTTCTCAATGGCGCTTCATCTTTTCGGCATCCATGACGCTCCGTGAAACTTTTCAATGTACACAAACTCTGAATGGCTTCTGTCGATAGCTTGTCGAGCTCGTTTAATAACTTTTTAGTTGAGGAAAAAATGAACTTTTGGTTAAAATAGGGCTGTTTATTATTGCTGAATAAAAGAATTTAGTTGAGACAGAAATGGGGGAAATTTGATTGTGATAGATGAGAAATAAAAACAATGAGCAGCAATTACTATTTCCTCATTCCTTCAATTAAACGAATTTTGTATTCGTTTATCTCGATATATGATCGAATTTCATAACCTATATTTAATTTTAATTCATTTGAAAGTGTTCATCTAGATAATCATTTTGCATCTGAATTATTTGATTGTGATAGATGACGAATAAAAACAATGAGCAGCAATTACTATTTCCTCATTCCTTCAATTAAACGAATTTTATATTCGTTTATCTCGATGTATGATCGAATTTCATAACCTATATTTAATTTTAATTCATTTGAAAATTTTCATCTAGATAATCATTTTGCTTATCTCTGATATCATAACATGATTACGAGATTGATATGGATGATATGATTCATATGTAGATTCGTTGCATACAATCTTTCATTGTGAAGATCACTCATTATTTATTATAATATATCTATAATCACATTCAAAGATTCTATTCTTTACTAGCTATTCATAGACAATTCGTAGAACATTTCAAGCTATAGTATTCTAAAAAAATAAAATACATAACAAACACATGATTTACATAATGAACACATAGTTTGTTGCACATAGTTATGCATAATTGAAGTTTTTGTTTTAGGATTATTATTAGTAATAAGCATTTAATATCCATAATGTACGAGGAGTTTGTGGCTTGTAGATTATTTAATGTTTTGCTGTGAATATTGTGTTTCAAAGATGCCGTATGAAACGCACAATGATGCCAGCAAAAGGGCCAGCGACGCCAACTATGATCCGGTGCAAATGGACATGAGTGAGGTACAGTGAAACCGAATGTTTGCAAACGCTTATTTATAGTATTAAGTAAGCAACGTTACAACAATTACTACGAAGATACCATGATGACTTTATGGGGGCTGTATGTACATGTAGGGTCATACGCTTGTTATATAAAATGTCTTGATTTGTAGAGGTCATGTCAAAACTGCATAAATAAAAGTAATTGTACATAGCACTTTTATCGCACCTTTGCATTAAACTCCAGAAGGAAATTCGGAAGAAATTATTTTCAATGAAGATAGAGATTCACAATGGCTTTACATACATAAACTAATTCTTTAATCACCTTAAGATGAGAGGACCACCTATGTAGACGTAATATAATGTACATAATACAATGATAAAATGAGTTTTGTTAGATCAATGATTTTCAATTCAAAGGTAAAACGAATAAATCATTGTATTTTTACATTGTATTTTTACATTGTATTGCTATAATGTATTGCACACTCTTTTTTTTTTTGTATTGTAATACCATTTTCCGATAAATTATTTTATATTCGAAATTTCAAGAATTTAAGACATGACCTTAAAGCCTGAATAATAATAATCGCGTGGCAGAGAAAATGAGGGTAGAGATTGAGATATTTAAACTTTAAATAATAAGTAAATGGGAATAGTGCCATTTCGTGAGAAAATATTAACACGTAGCTCTGTTGGTAATACATGATACAATATCTACGCACCTCGGCAAGGTCTATGCTGTGTGAGGGTCTTTCAAGACTACCCCAAGTCCTATTCGGAAGACAGAGGTGAGTAGAGGAAGCTGGAAGAAGGTAACACTAACAAAAAATCAACCATCAAAGATACCACATGTACAAACACTCGGGTAATAACTAACTGCTAAAGCAGATAAATATGAAGGGCCCTCATATTCCAATTTTCTCTTTTATACGGTGGTTGTTCCATGTTGATTCCATTCTTCTACCAGATATTAACTGGATACACGATTTACAATGAAGTTTGAATACAAATTTCTATGTAAAAAAACTTTTGTATCAAGTACAACCAAGGATGTGAACAAAATTTGTATTGCGCAGTTTATTTAAATTACTAGCGTTAAGTACGTTAAACATTAGGATTCATCCTAATACTGTGATTAGAAGAAATGCTAAACTCAATATTTGGACACACTGAAATTTGTTGGCTCTGAAACTCTCTGTTGTCGTATTATACATAATTAGAACTAGAAGCCTTAAAATTTCAGTGGTCGAAACATTGATGTTTACTAAATTGAGGGTGCTAAATACATGATTTGTAATATAGTTCTGGCAATGTAAATTGAACTTTATGTTTCGTTTAATAGAGTGGGCGAAAAGTGTATAGTAACACGTCTTGTTTTTCTTTCTTTAGGAGAGCAACAACAACAATTCGTCCAGGGAGTCTAGTAGCGAACGCGCGAATAGCCCAGTGACGCAGACAAGGACAGAATCGTCCCGTACATTACCTTCCCCCTCAGACCAGAGGTGAGCTGGTTTGTTTACAATCGTATATTCCTCCGAATTTGATGCACTCTCGTCGGCTATTCTTACTTATAAGAGAAATTTGCAACATATTTACCACATAATATTTCCCATACATACAGAATAATAATACGAATCTGTGTGGTATACCCTGCAGAACGTAATCGTTTTACAGGCGATCTGATCATGAAAATTATACAGCGAACTCGAAAGAGGACCAGAAACGAGGAGATAGATCCGAGCGTAGTAAACACACGAGCGACAAAGGACGTCGGTCGTCGTACGACGACAGGAGGCAACGGGAGAGTAGTCACAGAGACAGAGAGACAAAAAGGAGCAGAGACGACGACAGAAAGTCTCGTGACGATGACAAGAAGAAGGAAAAGAGTTCTTTGGGTTCCAGCAGGGAGGAGAAGACCGACGACAGAGAAAAGAGCCGCGACGACAGGAGGGATCGGAATCGCGACAGAAGCGACAGGGACAGAGACAGACGCAGAGACAGGGACAGAGATCGAGATCGTCGTCATTCTAGGGACGATAGGACCAAAGATCGGCACAGGGACGATCGATCTACCTACCACAAAGAAAAGGATCGTACACGGTCGAGGTCGAGATCCAGAGATCGTGCTCCGCCGCCTTTTAGAACGATGAGCTACAGAGAAGAGAAGAGCAGAAATAAACTGGCTCAATTAGAGAAATTAGGAATCGAATTGAAAGCGCCCGAAGGCGATGCTCCCATACCTGGTGTTCAGAGCGAACAGAATTATTATAATCCACTTGCAACGGCGTCGCAAGGAAAGTACGCGGAGCAAATACAGAAGAGGAAACTTTTGTGGGCGAATAAGGTGGATATTATTATCGTAAATTGTAAAGAATTAACGCGTTCACTGCCAGACTGATAATCACGAAAATTCCTACGAGGAATTTTGTTCGACGCCTCGCTTTCAGAATTAATTTATTTATTTCTCGGTGAAAATGGCGGTCAACGTGTTAAGCAAGAATTCTTGTATTCATCTTGTATTCATCTTGTATTCATCCTGTAATTTGTATTCGTAGTCAAAGCAAGACGAGTGCAAAACGTCCACGGCAGCCTCCACTGCTAACACGTGGGTAGGCACCACGTTCACTCACGATCAGGATGGAAAAGTAACGGCGAAATTTAAACGATTAATGGGTATAAAGGACGATTTACCAGCCACTCCCGCGGCAGGCGCGAAGCCTGATATATTAAAGAAACAAGAAGAAATGTTTAACAATATGGAGCAGCAATACGAAGTAGCACGCGCTACTACACACACGCAGCGTGGCGTTGGCCTCGGCTACGCCACCGGTGGTTACCAGTTTCCACGATAAAAGTACAATAAAATTTTCCAAATGTTAAGTTACGATTAAACGCCAGCCACCGGCGCGACATATGTTTTGTTTGTTGGTTTTGCGGTCTCGTCAGGTCGATTGCAAAACAGAGTTTCATTTCAAAGTCGTTATATATAGTGACTATATAGATATAGCTTACGAAACGAACGCCCGAATGATCTTGTTAGCGTTATGTAATTATATTGTAAACATTGAAAATAAATTTGTTAAGATTCCGAGGGGGACTCGGTGCTCTCGACTCGACTATCATCCCCGATTAGTTTTTGGTCACGGGACAGTGAAAGAGATATGTGTTTCGCAGCGTCGTTTATGTAATTGTATGTATGCTGTATGTACAAAGACTAGGTACATCGATTGAGATGACATTTCCTTTTTTTAAATAAATATCAAATGATTCTTGCAACCTTTCCTTCATTTCTTCCTATGTCGATTCCTCCAGTTTGATATATGTATCATTCTGAATCGTACTTGTGTAGATATCTTTTATGGATTCTATCACGTGTATTGTATACATTTCTCTAATAACGACAGGAAAATAGACAATTTTCTATTTATAACATTGCTTATCCCTAGATTAGGTATTTTCATCGTCGACCTTGATGCAATAACAATAACAAATGTTTGAACATTTTCCAAAGAAGGAAAGGAGACAAACATGTGGGCTAACTTCAGATTTATTCGAAGCCTAGTATTTTGAATGCTCTGAATGCTCCCAATTTGTTTATAATTTTTCAACTGAAAATTATATAAACCTTAATCTTTCGATCATAACCCTACAGCAATGCTGATGACTGCCGGATCGATATACCATTTCTAATGAATATTTTACGAGGCAGATTAGCAAATTATTTTGACCCAATAAATATTAACTATATCCATAATTTGACATTTTCAACGTAGAAAACACATTCTTCTATTAAATATGCGAATGAAAACGCTATGAATCGCTTAGCAAAATAGCAATGTATTTGCATAAAATCAATTTTATGGAAGGCGATATCCTCGCCGTGATTGCTCGTGAAACGCAACAAAATATAGTCTTCTAGAAATAATTTTAACTTTCTGTTTATTCGGATTCATATAATATCGCATGATTGTTTATAAAAAGCAAAAATAAAAATGGATACGAGTTACACAATAGACCAAATGGACAACAAGGACTTGAGACTTGTTCATCAGGTATACTTTAACATCTACTGTTTACTTTTATTTAATTATTTAAACTGAATAAAAATTTTGGTTTAGTTTCTCGTAGAACACAATTTCGAAGACACTGCTGGGACATTGATAGCAGAAGCTGCGACAAAGGGGTTGAAAAATTTTCCAGTAGATTTAAAAACTAATGTTAAAGCTTACACACACTCTTGCCAGTGTATGATATCGAGTTACGAGTCGGGAGACTGGAAAACATTTTTTAAGGTACAATGAAACTATTTCGTTGAACCGTGTGGAGTTCTGTTGAACTGTACAGTTTCTAACGTAAGAAACACTTGTTGATTTCAGTTGTGGAACTTGTTGGTGCCCGAAGATGCTAAGCAAACGAGAGCTTATAAAATTTTGACCTTGAATTTACATGTACATTTTACAATGTTACCTAAACGTATGTTACTTTCGTATAAATATAAAGAAAAAGGTAAATTTCTATCGCAGAATATTTGAATGTTTACGAGGGTGACCATTTATGTTAATGCTTATTTTTACAATTGTTTAGATAAAATGCAGGATAATTCTACAACATCTTTAAGTCAACAAGTATTGGAGCATGATGAGGTGATTTCAATAATAATCCTAGTATAATAGATTTTAGTTTATTTTAGTTATCCTGTTTTTACTCATTATATCTTTTCTGTTAAAGGAACTTCGATTATCTTGATACATTGTTGTAATTTGTCCAATTATTTTATACGAATCCTTTGTTTTTAATTTCAATTATGACAAATGTATGTAAAAAACTCTAAGATTAATAATGTAAACGACCAAACCGAGGTGTACTCATAGTAATCGATTTAACATTAATAACACAGAATTTTATGACCGAATTAGAGAAGAATATGAACGATAGCATGAAAGAGTTGTGCGAATTTTTAAACACGACTGGCAAAGAATTAGAAAACGATATGGAATTACGACCCTTTTTCGCGTTACCCTTTATCGAGGATCCGTGCACAGAACCATCTCTTGCTAAAATATTTGAGAAAAGTTGGATAGACGAAGTAACAGAAGGCTTGCATCTGTTTCTTAAGAAATATAAACCTGTAAGTTTATATACGGTACAGTACACTGAAATAATAATTACGTAGTGAAATCGTATGCGTAAAATGTTTTATAAAAGTTTATTCGATTTTAAGAATTTCAGCGAAACAGACTCGAATAGAATGTCTGCTGAGCAAAAGGATTCTATTACGAGGAAAACAACTAGATACAAAAATGTGCCAATCATACCAAACGACAGAAATATTCCAGTGTTTTTGGAGAACAGCGAAGTCGAAGAGGAATATACTTTAACAGACGATACAAAGTATAATCAGGAGTCAAAGTACAGGATACGTATAATATTATATTAACATAATAAAGATGTAATGTTTATATTTGCTCATTTTTATTATAGAAGTATGCAGACAGTACTGATGAATTTCACTACGGAAGAAATGCATTCATCGCAATTGATTAGATGTAACAAGAAGCTAATGCAGCGTACTCAAGAATTAGCTATGACGAAAGCTCATTTATCCAACGTTCATTTCAATTACGAAAAATTAAAAGCAAGATTTCACAAACTGCACGCTGATTACCATAAACTGATGAGCATCGCGAGAGTATTAACGACCGCTTTAGAAAATTCGGTTAAGGGTCAGACTGTCGACTTCCAAGCTATGCTGGAAACTTGCATCAAGATCTTTCCAGATTTGTTTAATCAAAATATAAAGGATACTTCGTATGTAAGTAACAGCTGTGCACAGTTGCGTTAATCATTCGTGTATGAATATAATGTTTTATTTATCATATGTGCTGCCAGTGCTCCTCGGAGTTGCTGTTGGATAAATCTCGTTCAGATATGAAAATGATCGAACATACTATGCCATACGTTGCATCTGTGCCACCGAAATTATTGAATTTTAAAAAAATCAAGCTACATCTGATAAACGGAAGTATCAAAACAAAACTGTTTCTCTTGCAAGCGTTACGAAGGGTAAGGCGTTGAGTAGACTGCGGATTTTTATGCATTCGTAGGAAATTTATAGGAAAATCCACACGGTATGCAATAATATAAAAATGATTCAAGTTTCATTTTGTTAGGTACACAAACATTTCATTTTGCATAAAGATCCGCAGTCTTAACAATAAGCGTTTAATGGTTTCTGAGATGTTAACATGAAAGTTACGTCGCTTTCTCAGAAAATAACGCTTAGCCAGCCTGGGGAAAGAGACGAAGCAGTGCACGAATATATAAGCAGAGACTTGCTAGGCCTTCACGGTCAAATTGCCAGCTACAAAGGCAAATCTATCCTCCCGTACTTATTAACGCCAGACAACATCATCATGCCGCATCCTCTACAGCAATCAACAACGAGATTGTTGAATGCTCTAGCATCGTTCAGATGCGGACGAGATTACTTGTCGTGCGATCCTACCGTCGTTGACGTGGTATGTTGAGTCGTTAAGGAAATGTAAGTTCGTCTTGCTGCCGATAATTAAGATTATAGGACAAATAGGAAAACTATTATAGGTATGCAATTGCCTGAAGAATACCTGCGATAACGACGTAGATACGTTTACTTGTAACATGATGATCGCGATGCTGCAGAAATTGTCTGTACGCAAACAGCAGAGAATCTATATGATCGAGAATGGATTGGTGGAGTGGATAATTCATCATTTGCACGATCAATGTCGCATCATGGACTCTTATCGATTGGAGTACGCGGTGGCACTTTTAATGAATTTGTCGTTACATCAAATAGCTCAAAGGAGAGCGTCCACGATGGCTGCTCTGCTTATTACAACGTTAACCGATTTACTCGTAATGGACCACGCGTCTGTACGTGCACCAAGTGACATAGTTTGTCTCGTGGAGGTCAGAGTATAGATTCTCATGCTGCATATATGATATTTAGGCTTTGCCGTACGTTAACGGAGCGTTGAATAACTTCTTGACGAATCGCACGATTAACGAGGAAGCGAAAAGGTTGAAGTTTTCATCCCTGTTGGAACAGTATGGCAGACATAAAGATGGAGAAGTGAGGTAATATTTTTCGTGTGTTATACATAGAATTTGTATTATTTGAAAGTTTGATATGGTGTAATAAATGGTAGGAAACACTTGGATCATATTTTGAAGATACACAGAGGCGAGATTACCATTGAAACAGAAATTGAAGAAATGGCGGATAACGATAGTGTAAGTAATAATATATGAAACAACTTACTTACTTACTTACTTACTTACTAATGTTTAATAATAATACCTGTTGTAGGAAGAGTATGACGTATTAGAAAATGAGTTGGAAGAAAATGACCCAGTAACAAATAATTATGGCGAATTATGTGGCGAATCGTTACTCGCGTCTTGTTACACCGTAAACGTTTTTCGAGAGAAGGAATCGACTTCTAACGCATCATTGTTCAAAGAATATAAAACAGTGTGCGACGAACAAGAAATGCAAACTTTACGTCACGAATACGCATCGTTTGGGAAACATTTGTCAAGGTATTATACATGTAGTATCTTCGTTACGGATTTCTTTTTTTATTGATTATTATGCATTAATAATTCTTGCGTCGTGTTGTAAGAAGAAAGCATGAGTCGAAGAATAGAAACAATTACGCAGTACAGGATTCTATGAAAAAGACACGCTTAAATTCGAAATTACACGTGCACAAATTAGTTCCTTCCTTGTTCAAGGTATTTAAAGAAAGAATACATTCTCGATGAATATATCGTATTAAAATTCATAACGTCTTCAAGGATCATGCTAGTAGAAAAAGTACAAATGGAAAACGGAATTTCCCAGACAACGTAACGAATAGCTTGGAGAGTTCTGAATCTCTGATCGAGAATTATACACAAATCGAATCGAGCTCTCATTTGAACATTTTGAAAATCTCTACCGAAACAAAATTGCCCGAACTCGATGTAAACATACCGGATAGGAGACACAGATGCTCGAAAAGTAAACACTTGAAAGTATCAAGAGATAGGGGGAATTCTGTTAAAAAAGACTTTGACGAGAGCGCTGTGTGTTTGTACGAAAATCAATCCTCCAAGTTCGTTGTTATTTTAGTTAAACAAGTATAACGCAACGAAAGTAAACGCGACATAGTTTAATAACTATGTTTACTTATTTCTCTTTGTCATAAAATTAATATAATTTTGTGTCTAGGAGGAGCAGCAAAACGACCGTAGCATCGTCGACTCTCTTAGAAGTTGGAAGCGAAGCTGAATCGACAGGTACATAGATTAATTCTTCGTTAAGAAAACGATGTACAACAATTAGTTGCTTTTCTCAAAAATTTCTAAACGTCTCGCATTCTTCCCACGTTTGTCGTGTCATTTGTAAAAACCGTTTCCGAGATAAGTCGCAAGTAGTGAAAGCTCTACGACTTTCTCCCGAAGGTATATTTGGTCGTAATCTCGGGAAAACTAGAGCAAGCGAATGAAAGTGACGAAGGCTCGACTGACATATATGAATAATGCATGTCGCGGCGAACACGAAGGTCATTAATTAATTAAGAGAAAAAGAAAGGGAAAGACATTTGTCAGAATAACTTAACGTTTTCCAGTAAAAGTTCTTACGTAGAGTTTTACCGTTTCACGATATTTTTAATTGTTTAAGGAATACGCGATGTTAATAACTTTGTCGAATTCATTCTGTTTCAGTGATGCAGAAGTTGAGCAGTATAGCGTCGTTGTGAGTCAAGGTTTTAGCGTCGAACGCACCGAGTGATTTTGAAATTTTGTGCACGTATTATTGCATCGCATAATAATGCATGTTATATATATTTTTATAACGGGATTCGAACCCCTTTTATATAGTACGAGCTTTCAAATAAATGATATATTTTGTTGGCCGTTACTACATTCTTCTAATAGGGTGAATCGTTTCACGTATCGTTCAGAATTAGAACATTTGTTTGTAGGAACATCGAGAACGCCGTAAGCGATAATATTTCGTGGATAGAGGAGCCCCAAGTCGATAGCGAGGAAGCCTTTTTACCGAAGCCAAAGCTTCCACGCACGCCGCCATAACTGAAACCTTTTCTATCAGAAGAATTAAGTTTAGAAGGATTAAGAAGGACGCATATGTAACGCGCTGCTTGTGGATTATTTAAATAACTTTATTTTAAACAACATAACGATTATGCCATTGGTCAACGTTAAATATTCGTTTAATAAATATGTACAAAATATAACATGTTCATCACACTCGGTCACATAGGAAACGTTAATAAAAACCGGAGTACATGCTCCCATGGCCAGGAATGTAGCCACTACTGCTTCGGTATCTTCGAAGCATAGGGCTGGGACCATCCGCGTAGCTATTGCCACTGAAACTGCTGTGCAAACTCGACATCGAGGGATAACTAAGCAGAGAACTGCTCGGGTAGCTCATGAAGCTCGGCTTGCTCTTGTAACTCGAGGCGATTTTGTTCAGATACGACGGACCACCGAGATAAGCTTGACCGCCATAGCTACTGCTCGGTCTGCTATCTTTCAGCGCTGCTACCTTGCCCTTTCCGTAGTTGGCGAATAAATAATCAGCGTCTTGGTCTTTCGAGAGGTAATTCAGACCCGCTCCTGGAGCGTAATCGCCCAAGAATTTGTTATATTTACTGTATTTGCCCGAGCTGTAAATACCAGAGCTTCCACGGATGCTACTATAAGGGCTGCTCGACGAGCTCGTTACGTACCCAGGAGATGGGAACTCGCGTCCCATGCTCCCATGGTTTCCACGTATGTAACGCGTGTCAGAGTGAAGGGGATAACCCTCGCTGGGGTACTTGTTACTTCCTCCGATTCCAAACATACCCTCCTTGTGCTTCCCGAACGAATAATCACTGCCAGCCGCGTTGAACAAGCTCGTAGGTTCTCTGTTGAAGGATTGCTCGCCATCCATGAATCCTCCAGGTGCGTGACCTCTGAACGCATCTCCAGAATACTCTCTGTAAGCAGAACCTTCGGGAGCTATCTCGGAGAAGCTCCCTGCGATGGACGCGCCAGGCAGACTGTCCGTGAACTTCATGTAGGCAGAGTTCTTGTGCTTATTGCTGGAGAACTGACTAAAGTCGGAGCCAGCTTGATCGTTGCTGTGCGTATAAGCGTCAAACGTGGAATCACCGTTGTTAGCGTTGGTATAACCGTCGAAGGAGGACTGTACAGGGTCGTTCCCGAAGTAGGAACTGGTACCGCTGCTGGAGAACCCTTGGAAACCACTGTCGTGGGAGCTCGGAGAGAAACCACTGTATGTGTTGGCTCTTAAACTCTCCTCGAGGTTTCCTTGACTCCTGCTGTTGGTGTGTCCACTGCTACCAGCGGAGTAGAAATCCGTTGTGTCCCTGTGGCCGTCTTTGATGGTGTTGTAGTCGTAATTAGCGTCACCTCTGACCGAGTAGCCTGTGACGAAGCAAAAGGAAGAATGTAGAAGAATGGAAGTGTACGGAGAATGTTTGTTGTCAGTGTAAGTTGAAGGCTTGAAGATAAGCTAAATATCTATTATATATCATTTTAAATAAGGAATGTTAATCAGTAACGAATCTTTTTCTTTTTCATGTGAAATGGTGATACATACTGGTGGTAGGCGATTCCCCGCGGACCAGCAAGACGCAGCCGAAGATTACTGAACTCTGGAAGTAGAATAGTTTCACCATAAATGAATAATCACACAGAGGAATCTAATTGGACTATTAAACCCTAGCAGTGTTAACTAAAGTTACTTAGAAATGCCAACACTCTGCGCTTTTTCTTGAAAACTATCTGTAGCGATGAACAAATGGAAAATGTTATAAAATTCCAACTCTTTTATTTCAGATATCCGAGACGAATGACAAAATTGCAATTTTACTCACGAGCGAAATTATTTTCGCCATGGCAATGTCTGGATTTGTTTCAACGAATAATTGTTTCACAATCGGACCAGAGGGTTTCTTTACCAAATTGATACTACACACATACTGGCACGAGAATCTGCTCCTTACTGTTTTATACTCCTAGGAATCCCTCCTCGGCCACAAAAAGGTAAAAGCGATCTTGATGCGCACATACTGATAGGACATTGGTTGGTACTCGACCATACAGAGCAGGGAGAAAGAGTCAACCTGATTTAACTCTTCACTTTTACGGGGAAAGCAATGGGTCAGTCGTGCGTCTGACTATTCAGTGAACTACGAGGAACATGACCTACCTAGACGCAATTAGACTTTTTAATAGACAAAGAAAAATGTCCCTTTCACGGAGCACTACCAGCCGACGTTGAAACGTAACTTTGAACTTATCATTACATGGCGCCGTAATAAGTGCCGCTATAACTACTGTAATCCTACAGGCGAGCTCCCCTCCTTTCCGTACGAGAATACAGGTCATTCGAGTGCTCCAGATTGGAATGAGATGCAGTTTTTAATTGACAAATTTTAATTGACTCCATGAAGCGATCTTAAATGTATTATAGAGTCTTGGAATGCCCTGATTTCTATCCTTCATCATTGTCAAGGTCAACGTATGTATATTTGTTACAGACTTTCCTTTGTCGAGGAATAAGTCATTCTAATGCTCCAGATTAGAACAAGACGCATTAATTGACAAATTTCAATCAACTCCATCGAGTGATCATGAATGTACAGGTAATACTCTGATTTACATGCTTCATCATTGTCAAGGTCAACATATGTATATTTATTAGAGGCAACTTTCCTTTGTCGAGGAATAAGTCATTCTAATGCTCCAGATTATAACAAGACGCATTAATTGACAAATTTCAATCAACTCCATCAAGTGATCATGAGTGTATTATAAGTAATACCTTGATTTACATGCTTTATCATTGTCAAGGTCAACATATGTCTATTTATGACAGGCAACTTTCCTTTGTCGTGGAATAAGTAATTCTAATGCTCCAAATTAGAACAAGACGCAGCTATCAATTGACAAATTTCAATCAACTCCATCGAATGATCATGAGTGTACAGGTAATACTCTGATTCACATGCTTTATCAAGGCCAACATATATATATATATATTTGTTACAGGCAACTTTCCTTTGTTGGGGAGAAACACAGCGAAAGAAGACAAACGACGTTACGTATACTCGAAGATTGCGACTACAATTATGGGAATGAAGAATTCCCATAATTCCATCGTTATCTTCTTATTATGTTTACTCTTACACTCGCTGGATAGGATTACTGTTTATAAACGATGAAAAACGAATAGACAAGATACTCTTTAACGAACCGTGTGGCGATATCGCGAGATGTTTAAGGTCAGCCTACTTAAAACCCGACGTGTTTCTATTTTAAAGCGCAGTCATAGAAAATGCCCGAGAAGATCTCACTCGAAGATCGAAATTTGTAAACATCGGAAAGAACGCTCTGCTCGGTTTACATCCCGCATAAAACGCACGGGTACCTTGAATACCAATCGCCTTTCATCTGGAAGAAAGTTTCGCGGAGCTTCCTCAAAAATCCAGCGAATCTTGGACATTTGCATTTCGGTTGGATCAAACGTCGTGATTATAGATAGAAATTCGGTAGACCACGACAGTTAATGAATATTAATCTTAATCTGTAACTGCGTACGCATAGAATTTTAATGTGCAAACGGAGGTGCGAAGTTTCAGTATATATAGACTTTATTTTATCACGAGTAGACTCGGTTCAGCCTGAGTGCGCGCCGAGTTCTCAGAAACCTTGCCTGGCATGCATAGATTAGGATTAAACGAGTTTGACATTCGTAAAAGGTGGATACATTCGCGGAAATGGCTGACAAAGCGAACATCGAGGCAGTGACCTCGAACGATCGAAACGGTACTGGATGCGGATCGTGAACAACGCAGAAGTATGATTGCACGTTGCACAGGAGACACGAAAGCCGGAATGACGCTGCGTATGCACCCTTGTCATTACCTTTCGCAATGCTTTCTACTTTCCGTGCACGAGCGTCATTAAAACGTACGTCGACCGTGTCGCAAACAGGTGAATTCGAATACGTTAATGACAATGACCTAGGATACTCATTGGTCGTCTTCCTCGCGTACGCAGCTAGTATGCGAAGGAGAAAATCCTTCGAGGAAAATTTAAACAATTAAACGAATATATAGCAGAGCTTACGTTAATCTTTTTGGTAAACGAGAAATTTAATGAAATTTTGCTAATTGATTCGCGTTCCTGTTACTAAAATCAAGTATGGAAATATGTTATCTAAGTGGTGCAGCATGAAATATCTTTGAAAGTTTAGACTTCGAGTAATAATTCAACTTCCTTTATTACAACATACATTTGGAATGCTCTGATTTCTATGCTTTATAATTGTCAAGGTTAACGTATGTGTATTTGTTACAGATTTTTCTTTGTCAAAGAATAAGTCATTTTAATGCTCCAGATTAGAACAAGACGCATTAATTGACAAATTTCAATCAACTCCATCGAGTGATCATGAGTGTATTACAGGTAATAACCTGATTTCCATGCTTTATCATTGTCAAGGCATGTATACAACATATGTATATTTGTATATATGTACATTTTATATCACTTGTCTCATAAAGGTTGGTGTATAATACTAATATCGAAACAAAATTGGTCTTATAATGTATAAATAACTGTTTTATTCTCGAGACAGTTACATCAAATAATAAAATTTTAATAAACAGCCTGATACAAGAGATATAAAATTTAATTTATAATTGATTCTATTATCAGTAACTATATCTTTTATTGTAATGTTCAAGGGCCCCTTTTCGATCTCTACCACGAATACAACCAGCAATTATACGCGCCCTTATCCAAGGGGTCATCGCGAGATCGCTAAATGGTAAAAGTTGCGCGTAACAACGTGTAGCGTTAGTCGATACGCAGAAAGTAAAATGAAAATGGAAAGTGGACGTTAAACTAATTCCAAACGGACGCCTCTTCGACGTCGGTGAATATAAATCATTGCGTGCGCGAACGATACGCCAAGACAACGCGATGCGTTGCTTCTCTGTTAACTATGTACTTTTTCTTTCGCTAATTCGACGAAGAAACTCCGTTCAGGAATCCAATGAAAACGCTCGAAGCGTGCGACATCGAAGATAGGATTAACGAAAGAATGCGGTGCATTTGATAAACAAGGGCCAGTTAGGCGCCCGCAGATGTGTTACACTTTCGAGGCAAGAAGAATTTCTGCTGCGAAAGTAGAAGAGGTATGCAGTAATACCAGTTGTCGTATCCCTAATATTCCCTTAATGCGATGACCGATTGCTTTGGAATCGTAATTAGACGAACTCCTCAATTTCGCAGTAATCGAAGAGAAAAGAGTCTTTTCAAAAGACAAAATTGGGTTTGCAGGGATCTCTTTGTGGAGTACAGAACAAATCTCTTGTTTTCTGCAAGAGGCCAAGGATTAATTTCTGTACACATCAGAATTGGAATCTATTAGACTTCACAGAATCGCAGAATAAATT